TTTCAGCAAAATCCAACGATCGGATCTCCGGCGGTGATCAAATCCGTGCGGGCTGTCCAGAGAATTTACAGTCTCAAAATCTGCACCTTGTTTTTTCTTTTGATCGAATTTCCTTCTGGTTTTTAGTAGTTTTTCACGCACAAAACCCTAAGGGAGGGTGAAGATATTAATAGAATAGAATAGCCATGTTGGAGTGTGCTTAGGATTCTCAACCATAGTTTCCTCCTTATGAATTGTAAACCAAGTAGGATTAGAATCCAAGTAGGACTAGAATTCTCTCTTCAAGCTCTTTCCTCTTCCTCTTCCTTCAAATGCTAGGACTCTAATTCTAAATAAAACATCTAAAATAATTCTAGATAAATCCATTCGTTTGTCAAAAAATAATGCCAACACAATTTGGAACTAACAATCTCCCCCTTTGACAATTTTTTGACAAAAACGAATCTCAGCTGTTTTGAACCTCTTCTCCCCCTTTTTGCATAAAAAATGCCAAAGGTTTTATTAAGAATATTGGGGCAAAAAGAGAAGAGTAACATTCAAGCGAGCTTGAGCATTACAATAATGAATATTAAAATAGACCTAGACTTTGTCACATCAACATGTGCCACACTTGAGCGACTCCCCCTCGGACGATGCATCTAAAAAAGTAACAATCTGGAAAAAATAAAGACATGTATGCAACCATCAAAAACATCCATGCTCTAAGGTATTCCACGCTGGATATGAAACACCTTTTAGAGCATCCTCTAAATCAGGTAAAGATAGGTGTGCATAGACCCAAGCGGGATCTGAGTATACCAAACTGATTCCCATCAAATGCTCTTTTACACATGCCCAATACCCGTTTTTTCATAGTCATAAACTTCACACTCTCATGGCTAGGAGGTGTCACTTCATCACACTTATGAGATGATTCAGCACTCTTAACAGCACAACGATCTATTTTCTTTTCTTCTTGAAGCAAGCTTGCACTACTAACATGGCATTTATCAGAAGCAACATCATTCACACAAGGATTATCACCTGTTTTGTACTGATTCTTAGGTACCCAAATCATCCTTGTTGTCACATTCTTTTTCCCGTATCTTTGCTCTTTAAAAATCTTGCATTTCCTCTGAATGTGTCCCCTTTTTCCACAGCAAAAACAAACATAATTAGCATAGACATTAGTATAAGAATACCTTTCAGGTTTAGCATAATGATCCTTGTGCCTTCTCATACTAGATTGTGTCACAACTCTTTGCCTTTTTGCATAGGGTGCTGCATAAATTGTTCCAGCAGAAGCTTCATGAGATGCTTCAGCGGGTTTGGCAGAAGATGTTCCAGCAGATGCAGCAGCTTCTGTTTTCCTTCCTTGTGGAACTTTTTGAGCAATTTTCTTTCTTCGATCAACAAACAAGTCAAGTGGGGTCTGATTTTTTTCGGAACCTGAGAATCCGAGACCCGTCTTATCTCAAGAAAATTTTGAAACATTCACTTGTTCCTCAATAGCTTTTGCTCCAGCACTTCTCATCCACTTGTGAAAGTTTTTGAGTTGATTTAATTCTTACTTGAGATCTGATTGTTGCCCTTCCAAGTCTTAAATCTTCTTTTCTAGTTCTGAAATACTCTCCTTTAGTCTATTGCGCTCGGCAACAAGCTGATGGTTCTCTAGAACAGTTTTCTGGTTGGCTTGAACAAGTTCTACCCACTTCCTTTGGAGAATAGCTAGCTCTTCTACTGTGTCAACCTCTGTGTCATCTTCTGTATCATCCTCTGTGTCATCTTCTGTATCATCCTCTGTGTCATCCTCTGCTGTAATTTTACCTTTGTATCTCTGTAACTCTTTGATGAGTTGTTCCACATCGCGGTTTGATTCAGCAAGTTCACGTTTGAGGCTATCATTTTCCAAACATTTTTTCTTGTTGACCCGTAGAGACTCTTGAAATTTTTCTTCAACAATTATAAGCATCTCCCTTGGATCTACGTCACTATCAGAGTCACCGTCAACACTATGGAAAGTTGGAAAAGCACAGCATGTTTCAGCACTGTCTTTAACACACTGCTTCTCTTTTTCAACGAGGATGACATGCTGCTTTTTACGTTGTAGATCTTCATGCATCTCCCACTCAATGGTTTCTAAGTTCCCCATCAGTTCATCAAGAGACATAACATTGAGAGATTGTGTTTGTCTAATAGCTTTAACATTCATAGAGTATTTTTCTGGAAGAGACCGTAGCACTTTCAACACCAGTTTGTTTTCTGTAATTGGTTCACCAAGCCTTTCAGCCTCATTTGCCAACTCTCTAACTCGCCCATGAAAATTTGTGATAGACTCAGTATCCTCCATCTTAAGATTTTCAATTTTAGACATCACGATCTGAAGTTTGGCTGTCTTGACTGTAGTAGTGCCTTCATGAGTAATAAGCAAAATGTCCCAAGCTCTCTTGGCCTCTGTGCAATTTGAGATAAGACGGAACTGATTTCTATCAACCGCTCCGAAGATTGCATTCAAAGCCCGATCATTCGATTCTGCAGCATCCTTCTCTTTCTTGCTTAATCTTTCATAAGGTTTCTGAATTAGTTCTCCATCTGCATTGATCATAGTAGGAGCTAACCATCCAACCTCTATGCTTCTCCAAACCTGTCCACCAAGAGACTTGAGAAAGGCTCTCATTCGACACTTCCAAAAAGTATAATCATGGCCGCATAATAATGGAGGTCTAAAAACATTAACACCTTCTTGAATATCTCCCATGGTGATAGATCGATCAAGCTAATAACTTAAGCTTGCCAAGCTCTGATACCAATTCTAAATTTGTGGGGGTGCATCGGATAACAGCAAACACAAGCTATGCAAACAAAAACAATCAACTATGTTGTAGAGAAGACGATGCAGCACTGTTCAGTAACAGATGACGGACAGTGTGCTATAACACTCCTCTGTCACAAGCACACACGTAAAATATGAAGTAAAAACAGCAAGCAAGACACCAAAGTTGTTCACGCAGTTCGGAGCAAATTCTCTTACGTCTGCAAGGCCCACGTCCGTGTAATAACCCTTCCACTAAATCACCGTAAGAATTACACAATCAATCACAACAGAACCTTCTAATGTATTGATTTGTCTACTTACGAATGACTTGACGACAAATTCAGTTTGCGTCTATCTCCACGGCTTGTTACACCTTCTCAAAGATCTTCTTCAAGGACGTAGATTCCAATACACCTTCAAATAAAGATTCTTCTTGATCTACAAAAATATGCAGGCTGTTCAGAAGCTTATAACTCGAGATTGAACCGTTGAAATTCGATCTCCACCGTTCAGATTTAAGCTCCACGAGTCCTTAGACTCCTCCTAAAATTTCAGCACGATCAGACAAGATTTGGTACTCCAACCATCGAGAAAACCAGGGCAGTGTTTTCTGCAAAAAATCAGCAATAGTGTGTAGATTGTAACTTCGATAACAAAAGATCCGTAACTCCGATTGACGTGAAAATTAGAACACGTTGAAGCCCTATGTTTCAGCAAAATCCAACGATCGGATCTCCGACAGTGATCAAATCCGTGCGGGCTGTCCAGAGAATTTACAGTCTCAAAATCTGCACCTTGTTTTTTCTTTTGATCGAATTTCCTTCTGGTTTTTAGTAGTTTTTCACGCACAAAACCCTAAGGGAGGGTGAAGATATTAATAGAATAGAATAGCCATGTTGGAGTGTGCTTAGGATTCTCAACCATAGTTTCCTCCTTATGAATTGTAAACCAAGTAGGATTAGAATCCAAGTAGGACTAGAATTCTCTCTTCAAGCTCTTTCCTCTTCCTCTTCCTTCACATGCTAGGACTCTAATTCTAAATAAAACATCTAAAATAATNTTTTTTCTTTTGATCGAATTTCCTTCTGGTTTTTAGTAGTTTTTCACGCACAAAACCCTAAGGGAGGGTGAAGATATTAATAGAATAGAATAGCCATGTTGGAGTGTGCTTAGGATTCTCAACCATAGTTTCCTCCTTATGAATTGTAAACCAAGTAGGATTAGAATCCAAGTAGGACTAGAATTCTCTCTTCAAGCTCTTTCCTCTTCCTCTTCCTTCACATGCTAGGACTCTAATTCTAAATAAAACATCTAAAATAATTCTAGATAAATCCATTCGTTGTCAAAAAATAATGCCACGTCACTGGAAGCTGCATGGACAGCAGCTTGGGAGCCACTGCCGACTGGAGGGATGGCGCTGGGTTGCTGCCCACTAGTTTGCTGCCCACGTCCAGGAGCGGCTGCCAGATTGCCCAGGATGCCGCGACCTCCATAATTAACAGGAGGTCCACCCCCACGGGCCCATCGACCGCCACGGATGCTAGGTGACTGTCCACGTCCACCGGTGGGTTTAGTAAAATGTGTAGGAAAGCCAACGAGTTCAAAGAAAGTGTCGACGGTGTGATTAGTGCGGCCGCAATGTGAACACATGAATTTGCCAGAGGGGGGTGGACGGCGATCAGATCGGACGGCGAAGGCAACAGATTCGGTGCGGTCATCCCGAGTACGGACAATAAGACGGTGACGTTCTTCTTGAGAAATCAAAGAGTAAGCACGATCAATATCCGGGACAAGATCGGTGGCCATAATTTGAGAACGAATATGGCCGAATTGTTCATCATCAAGCCCAAGGAGGAAATCAATAATTTTGTCGCGCTTGACTTGAGCACGTGTGATGGTGGCAGCTTCACATTTACAACCATTTGTAGGATCCTTTGAACCATGCAATTGATTCCACAAAGTGATAAATTGTTTATAGTAAGAGACCACACTTTGTCCCTTTTGACGTAGAGAATTTAACTCATATTTTAACTGATAAATACGAGGCCCATTCGAACAACTGTAGCGCTTTTGCAAATCATCCCATAATTCCAAAGCTATGGTATGAGAAACAATACTTGGTTGAATAGACTCAGCAACACTATTAAAAATCCAACTACAAATGATTTGATTATTAGCATACCGAGCAGACAACTCGTGTTCATGATCGGTAGGCTTTGGCACCCTGACGGATGACAGAAAAGTAGCTTTCCCACGACCTCCAAGTGCATTACATATAGCTTTCTCCCATATATCAAAGTTATCACTTTTCAACAAATATTTGGTGAGAGAATTACCGAGACATTCAGAAGGATGAAGATAGTAGATAGAAGATGGATCATGAATCAACCGTGTGCGTTTGGAGTTAGACATGTTCTCTCCGGCTGTTGAGTCCAAAATATTCACTAATTATTCTCTACCAAATCAGTATTTTTGGGCATTAAAAAGTGCATTTTTACACTTAAATGATCATTTTTGCATTCTAGGCATAGTTTTTAAAATATGTTCATAATGCACACTTTTCAGTTTATTTTTGAATATAGAAATCATCCTAAATAGGACTAAAACATAGAGAAAAGTACCAAAATAGACCTTTCATGTTTTTTTCCCGGAATAGGACTTGGCACTGTGGTAATGTTACTTTGCATTGTGGTAATGTGGCAGTGTACATGTGCAAATTACTATACTTTTTTGGTAATGTATATGACCATGTTTCGTAATGTAAGTCCTATTTCGGGAAAAAAAACATGGAAATCCTATTTTGGTATATTCTCAATGTTTTAGTCTTAGTTTGGTCTTTCTCCCTTTTGAATATCATTGTTGCGGATCCAAATTCTGCTTGACAAAGGTTATTAGATATATCTTTAGAGCATGAAGTGCGGGCTCAAAATGTGAAAGCAATCCGGGCAGAAAGATTACAAAGCCCAAAGGTCCACCTCCAAATCTCCAATACACGAGAGAAGCTGCATAAAAAAGGAGAAAAAAGAGAGAGTCGTGTAAGATAGAAGAGCCGAAGACTCCCTCTCCTACATTGGGTCGGCCTCTTCAAGCATAGCTGGAGCCGGAGAATCCGCAGCAGGAATTGCAGCGCACAAGGAAGTCCTAACCCACCCTAGACGGAAGAAGCAATTCTCGCACCTATAAATCGATAAATCGAGGGAGGCGCTGCGAAGAACACCACCACCACCTTCAAGAACAAAAATCAAAGCCACGATCAAAGGGTAAACGCCCTTGGGGGTTCGGATCTTGCATCCGAAACCCCCTCTACCATCTTTTGTTCTGTTTTTTTTAGTTTTCAATTGAATTGTTTTTTTTTCTTGCAAATCGTGTGTTTTTATTTCTGTTTTACTCTTAAAATTTTAGTGTTGTTATGAACACTTTTAAAGAATTCTTCTTAGATATTTTCAAGATTTTTTAGAGGTAGAGATGTGAACTAGAGCTCTTAGCCCTTTGAATGTTATGTCTTCTGTTTAATTTGGTTTCAAAGCAATCTACTGGAATGTTTTTTAGGCAGTGCCGTGCACCATCCTAAACTGGGTTTTATACCAGTAAGGGTCTATTAGCTCTTGGAAGATATTTTCTTGGCTTTACAGTATGTAGGGATTAATTGGAAGTGGAATCATACAATACTGAAGCACTTTTTGAACTTTTCCTTAAAGAAATCTTTGTTTCAAATGATTTATGTGCTGAATTTGTTTTAGACCTCTAGCTTGTGTCTTTACTGCCATATGATGAAGTAGACAAGGAAAATGTCTCTTTTTGAGGAATTCCTCTCAATTATATGTTTGTTGCAGTAAAGAAACAAGTGGGTACAAGTGGGTAATATATACTCGTATCTTATTAGGTATACTTTCACAATGTTTTTTTTATGTCTGTTTTCTACTTGGAATCTGATTTTGTCAAAAAAATAACATATGAAACTAGAATTTTTGGAAGAAGTATTAAATCTTGTTGCTTAAAATTGAATCTGTCTATGGGTTTAAACTTTTACAACAAGTTTTATAATCTGAAAATAATTCAAGCTTTTGCTACTTTTAAATTAATTCAAAAGGGTGTGATGAGGGTGTTTCCAAGATACAATCAACTCATACACAGAAACACAGACAACGTTAACACAGTAGTACGAACAAAGTAAGAGCACATATAGTTGGACACAAGAAGCACACATACTGGCACTACAACTAGATCCAAAACACATTAAGCAAACAAGATACAAACTAATGCAAAAAAGACACCAACATAAACTACACATTTAACCTAAAATCAAACCAACTATCTAATATTAGATCTCCAATGTTCGTAAATCATGTGTAATCACTTACTACCAACTCTTCTAGGTCTACAGCCACCCCTTTTCACGCACACTTGAAAAAGTATTTCAGACTTTATATATTCCCAAAGCACTAGGTCTAATTTTCTATTTTGGCAATTGACATTCTGAACTGAAAGTAAATGAATAAACCTTCAGTAGTCCTTGAAGCAGAGTGAGACTACCTTATTAATTTTCTACTTTTTTTTTTTTGAATCATTGAAATTTTCTACCTTATATATAATGATCAGTTTTGTACTTAGTAGTGTTTTTTTCTCTTCAATTGTTCTTATGCTTAGATGATTGAGAAGATCATGAGATGCTGAAGATGAAAAAACATATACAATCACATGATTAATTGATTATGGTAAACATAGGTTTTTTGCAGGCAAGACTAACATATATCACACCCTCCCACCATCCACCCCCTGGAAAAAGATCCTCAAGCCAAACAATACCTTAAGCTACCGTCGCAATTTTTTTTTCTTTTTTTCCCATGATTTTGTGAATAGCGGCATGAAGTCGAGGTATTGAGGTGATGGAAATGAAGTGACATCTTTTTTTTACCGTGATGCATGGTCACTTGTTCCCGCCATTGCCAATAGAGCTTAAAAAGTGGGTTCGACAATGTTTTAACTTCAGATAAATAATTGGTTAAATAAAAATGACACATTAAACTTTCTTTTCTTTAACTATCTATGAAGTTTCGGGCAGTAAATGAATTAATGTCTCAAAGCAATTCAACAAATAAAAATGACACATTAAACTTTCTTTTCTTACAAATTACAATGCTCTGGTTGACCGTGAAGTGGTTCCTACCTCCATAGCCCCCCCCAACTCCCCACTTGGTGTCAAAAGAATCGACCTCCTAACAGAAAGGACCTCACTGTTTTTATAGGGGTAAAATTTTGTACATCTTGATTCCCAGACTCCAATAGAGTTGGAATAATATTGAGTTTGTTGGTGTTTTTGCTGTTGAACTTGTTATGTCATGAGAGATAGTGCATTTTGTAGCTCTTTTTTCCTACAAATAGTTGAGCACTTCATGCATGATGATTGATATCCTGCAACTGAAGGAATGCAAAATTTTGACTTTTTTTTATTTCAAAAAACCAGATTACTGGATAACAAACAATCTGAGGGCCAGGATGCAGCAGCGACAGAGAACACATCCGTGCTGCGAATGCGGGGCCTACCATATTCAGTCATCAAAGAGGACATCAAGAAGTTCTTTGAAGACTTCGTCTTGTCAGACGAGTCAATCCACTTCAGGGTAAACGCCGAAGGGAGGCCGACAGGTGAAGGGTTCGTGGAGTTTCGTGGGCCCGAGGACGCGAAGGCGGCGCTGGCAAAGGATAGGATGACGCTAGGCAGTCGCTACATTGAGCTTTTCCCTTCATCACTTGAGGAACTGAGTGAGGCTCTTTCAGGGGTGGTTCATTGAGAAGGCATATGTGTTCTTTGTTAGGCTTCTTAGGGAGGGGATGGTTTATTGAGGTTTTTCTTATCTTTTTTCCCCTCCCAGTTGAAGCATTAACGGATGGTGTGTTCTAATGTCATCTTTATACTTGAAGTATGAATTCATCTGAGACTTTTATTTATTAATGACAAAAAAAACCATTTACTTTTATTTATTAATGACAAAAAAACCATTTTCTTTCCAAATTAAAATTACTAGGAAGTTATTGTATGAATTTGTCGAGTCTCTTGTTAATTATGTACTATACTCTTGAGACTCTGTTGTATGAGCTGAAAATTTATTGGGAAAAAAGATAAATTTTACCAGTAATATATAAAAGTATGTTTATACTTGTAAAAAAAACTCTTTAATAGTAAAGATTAAAATTACTAGGAAATTGTTGTATTTGTATTACTTTTTTACACAAATTTTGAAAAGAAAATTCTCTCTCCATTTATTTCCAAGATCACACCCAAGTACTGAGTATTAAAAACTGCAAATTACATCGTATCATATCATTCTAGTTTATAGATATGTAAAAAAAAAATTAACCATAACATGTAACGTACGAGTGGAAAAAACCTAAAATAAGCATGTTTCACAATAACGTTAAAATATTTAGAGCTGAAATTTTGTAAAGATTATCGATCATCTAACAATAGGGTTTATTTAGCTAATCCTCTTGATTAATTATTCAGCTTTGACGGCCGCCGGTGACCGGAGCACGGCAGACGGGACAAGTCCTCTTCCTCCTCAACCACTTCGCGATGCACTCGTTGTGGAACTTATGCGAACAGGAAGACGACAGGGGAGTGATGACGTCACCCTCCATGTACTCCTCCAGGCACACCGCACACGACGTCGCCTCCTCCTCCTCTCCGGCGAACCTCTCTTTCTCCAGCGCGGCGACCTCATCTTCCGACAACCCAGGCCCGACGGCGGGTCCCCAGCTGCTATCAAACGTCCGAAACATGTAGTCCGTGATCCAATCATCCAGCGCATCCACGGCCGCCCGAGTCGCCGGCGTCCTCGGCCCCGCCTCCGGCTCCATGAGGTGAACCGTCTCCAAGACCGCCGACAGGGATATCCCGAACCGGACGCAACCCCGGACGGTGACGTTCTCGAGGGCGAATTGGACCATATGGGCGGCGAACGCCGGGGCGTCTATGGGGTCGACGACGCCGGCGAGCGCGGCGGAGAAATAGGCGAAGGCGTTTTCCGGCGAGGACAGAACGCGGAGGGGGTCGAAGGGTCGAGCGAAAGCGCGGTCGCCGAGTGTCTGGAAAAATCCTCCGGAGATAGCGAGAGCTTTGGTTATGAGCCGAATGGAGAGTTGACCATGGCGGGGATCTTGGTAGACCAACCCATCTATGTACCCGCCAGTTAGTGGAGCAGCCGCCGACATTATTTTGTTAAGCACGTACAGAGTGATAGTTAATGGTGTATTTGTGGAAGATTAAGCACGAAAGAAGAATTCCATCTGTTTTTACATTTTACACACGCATACGGAGTATATATATAAGGGAAAGAATTTCCAAATCCCAATCCTACAAGGAAACGTAAAGCCCAAGTTATAATTTGAATTGTCAGTTACTGATTTCTGTTTTTTACTACAACAATTTTTAGTTTAGTTTATGAAATATTTGCACTAAATAATACTCTCTCCGTACTTAAATAAAGTTCCTTTTTTGACTTTTTGAGGATTTAAGGAAGAGATATTTTTGTATTGACTTTCCAAAAATACTCTTGATGTGATGTGTAAAAGTAAGATGTGATAGATAGATTATTAGTAAAAAGATATGATGTGATAAGTAGGGTATGAAAAAGTAAGGGGTAACAGGGGTTTTTTAAGGGAAAAGAGAAGTTTATTTAGGGACAAAGAAAAAACGAAAGAGGAACTTTATTTAGGAACGGGGGGAGTACTAATTAAAACTTAAATCATTTTCCTAAATAACACCTAAATTGTTTTATTTCCTAAATAACACTTAATAATATCCATAATATCTTGTAATGTAGTACTATTTAGAGAAAGTCATTATATTTTAGTACTAGTGCTATTTAAGTAAATTCCTCTTAGTTTATTTAAAGAGTGGTGTGAATTAAAAAATAAAATCTTAGAAAGACAAGAACAAAAAGAAGGTTGTTAAAGTTGAATTGTGTAAATAATAATGTGATGGATTACGTACTATTTGTAAAATGTAACTGTTATATGAGTCCAATATTGAATATAAAATTTTAATTTATGCACCCTAAAATTTGGTTTATAATTTAATTTTACAAAATTTAAAGAATTGTAAGTGTTCAGTAAAGAGTAAAAAATATTTTACATTTTTGGGTATATATCAATTAAGATGTGAAATTTGAAAGATGTGTTATATACTCACTCTATATAAGTTACTTGATCTAATTGAAATTGAGGTTGTTTTTAAATGTATTTTCTCGTGATATTGACTTTTCATGCATTTTTAGGGGACTTAAGAAGATAATTCACTAGTACATATCAGGGCAAAGGCATCGGTTGTTTTGTACCTTTAGCATTGTTTTTGCACCGATGCAATTGTCCAATTCAATTGCATCACTTTGAAAAACGGATGATCTTTGCTATTTTATTAATTTAAAAATAAATATTATTATCATCGGTTGTTTCTAAACAACCGATGCATGTGCTATTTTATTAATTTAAAAAAAAGAGTATTAGCATCGGTTTTTCAGGAAAAACTGATGCCTTTGCTAAACATATTACTCCCTCCGTTCTCAAAAATACTTCCTCTTTCATGTTTTCCACTTCCAACAAAACACTTCTCCTTTATATTAAAAAACCATTTTTACCCTTACTTTTTCATACCCTACCTATCACATCATACTTTTTCTCTAATAATCTATCCATCACATCTTACTTTTACCCATCAAATCAGGGGCAAAATTGGAAATTAACTATAATTTAACACTTCCTTCTTTTTGCCCCCAAATCAAAATGGGAAGTCTTTTTGCAAACGGAGGGAGTAAAATTTTAGAGGTGGGCAGCCAGCGTCAAAGCTTTAATGCGTGGGAGGCTGGGAGCTGAGACTCGTTAATACTGCCATGGGGGCGGTGTTTAACGCCCTTTGGAAATTAAAAGTCGGTTGATATCGGCGTGGGGGGGGGGGGGCGTCAGCCCCATTTCCACTCCTCTAAGGTGCATGAGATGATGGCAAGGAGTAAAATGGAAGAAATTAAAGAATCCATTTGGTCTTTGTTTTTTGTAAGAAACTGAATTGAATTAAATGGAGTGACTTGAAGAATGATAGTGCACCAATTTACCAATTCAAAGTATGTTTGGGAACATGAATTTGGATTCCAAATCCGGATTTGGCTTAAATTCCATATTTAGCAAATTAAAGCATTTTGAAATTGGATTTGGATCAAATTCTATACATTCAAAAGAAAGCTTAATTTGAAATTCATGCACTTCCCCTTGTCATTTAAAATTCAGGATTTCAAATTTTGGTGTTGAAATGCATGAATTGAAACGAAATGCTAGTTGCCAAACACTACCTAAATTCAATTCGTTTCCTAATTTAATTTACAAAACTTCATTGTAATTAAAAGGTCATTTTCTAATTGCTACGGCGCACATGCTATTTTAATTAGCTAAGATACTCCGCACTAAAGTTCTATCAAAAATTAAAAAAATAAAGAAATTAAAGAAGTAAAATTTACGTAAATAGCACTAAAACATAATGACTTTCCTTAAATAGTATCACATGTGTTTTTCCCAATCTAACACTTTTAGTCAGTTATTCAAACAAATATTAGTCATCACAGAATATTACGGACATTATGAAGTACTCCTTCCATTCCATATTAACTGTCCATTATGACTTTCTTGGTACATTGAGAAATGAATGTATGTAGACATAAAAAAGTTAATTACTATTTAGGGAAATGATTTGAGTTTTAGTGCTATTTAGTGCAAATATTTCACTAAAAAATTATTACTCTCAATATTTTTCTAACAATTTCCAATTTATTACTCCCCCCGTCCCACTATATTCGTCCACTTTTGACTTTTGGAACTGCTCATCTAAGCACTTTGACTCATCAAATTCTCTCATTGTGTAAGCTTAAATATAGTCATGTGTGATCTTGTTTGATTTAATTTGTCTTAACATATAGATTATTAATATATAATTTTTATAATTTTTTAATATACAAATTACAAGATAAAATGGATTAAAGAAGTGTATTGGATAATGTGTAAAAATAAAAGTTGACAAATACTCTGAGACACGGAAGAAATAATTTTTTATTCCTTAAAAACTAATTATATAGAGATGGAAAACAAATGACGGTAATAAGCTATTACATATTTTTAGCCTTCTTTCTCTCTCTGTCTCTTATAATTTCAACTAGTTAAAATGATCTATATATATCTTCATTCCATCATTTTTTGGTTACCTTTCTGTCTCTTATAATTTCAACTAGTTAAAATGATCTATATATATCTTCATTCCATCATTTTTTGGTCACCTTTCCTTCCAAGTCCCATAACACATATTTTTATCACTCAACCTCATGCTCTGTATTTTTTTACACTTTCTAGAGAGTAAATGTTGCTTTAGTTTCATTCACAAACATTGCAAAGAAAATTCTCTCTCCATTTATTTCCAATATGAAATAAATTTTAATACAGAGTATTAAAAACTGCAAATTACCTCGTACTCTATCATATAATTCGAGTTTATAGATATGTGAAAAAAAGTAACCATAACATGTTACGTACAAGAAGAAAAAAAGCTAACCATAGGGTTTTGTAAAGATTATCATCTAACAATAGGGTTTAGTTATAGCATTTTAAAACACTATTAAAATTTTATAGTAAACCGCGGCTCTCAAACAAATAGAGAAGAAAGCGATTAGCATGCCTAATCAAGATTAAGGCTAATCCTCTTGATTAATTATTCAGCTTTGACGGTCGCCGGTGACCGGAGCACGGCAGACGGGACAAGTCCTCTTCCTCCTCAACCACTTTGCTATGCACTCGTTGTGGAAGTTATGCGAACAAGAAGACGACAAAGGAGTGATGACGTCACCCTCCATGTACTCCTCCAGGCACACAGCACACGACGGCGCCTCCTCCTCCTCTCCGGCGAACTTCTCTTTCTCCAGCGCGGCGACCTCATCTTCCGACAACCCAGGCCCTACGGCGGCGGGTCCCCAGCTGCTCTCAAACGTCCGAAACATGTGGTCCATGAGCCACTCATCCAGCGCATCCACGGCCACCCGAGTCGCCGGCGGAAGCGGCGCCCTCGGCCGCGCCTCCGGCTCCATGACGTAAACCGTCTCCAAGACCGCCGACAGGGATATCCCGAACCGGACGCAACCTCGGACGGTGACGTTCTCGAGGGCGAACCGGACCATCTGGGCGGCGAACGCCGCGGCGTCTACCCGGTCGACGACGCCGGCGAGCGCGGCGGAGAAATAAGCGAAGGCGTTTTCCGGCGAGGACAGAACGCGGAGGGGGTCGAAGGGTAGAGTGAAAGTGTGGTCGCCGAGTGTCTGGGAGAATCCTTCGGGGATAGCGAGAGCTTTAGTTATGAGTCGAATGGAGAGTTGACCATGGCGGGGATCTTCGTAGACCCACCCATCCACGTACCCGCCAGTTCTTGGAGCAGCCGCTATTATATTGTTAAGTGACATTATGTTGTTAAGTAAGTAGGAGTACGTAGGAGTGATAACTAATGATCTATTTGTGGAATATTAAGGGGAAGAAGAATTAGGTTTATACATTTTACAGACCCTATTCATAAGGGAAGGATTCCTAATCCTAGAAGGCTAGGCAACGTAAATCCCAAGTTAGTGTTTCTTTAATATCCTCTTCACTTGAAATAACTAATTAAAGAATAGGGCGTGTAGCCCAATTCAGTTTTTCTTTTTCTTGCTTTGGTTTTGATTTAAATTTTTGTTGTGTAATCTAAATGTGTTGTTGCTTTGAAAGAATTATTTTTATTTTTTAGATAAGAGTTTGATAACTATGAGAGTATGGTGACAATGTGACCATCCTTTAATTAGTTTAGTACTCCGTATAATACTGAGCCGCACTAAAATGGAGAAATATATTTTCATTTTTTCGTAAATTATAGGCCCACTTTTTTCCATTAATATATTTCCATTTTTTCCCTTAAAAAAGATGATTATGATAAAATTAAAGTATTCCGTATAATATTAAGCTATTTTGTATTTCCTCCGTTATTATAAATCCTTCCCATTTTGACTTTAGACAAAAATAAGGAAAGTATAATTTTGGTTGACTTTCCAATTGTGCCTCTGATGTGATTTTTAAAAGTAAGATATGATAATTTAGTTATTAGTGAAAAAGTATGATGTGATCGGCAAAGTATGAAAAGGTAGGGGTAAAAATGATTTTTTAATAGAAAGTGGAAGTATTTTAGGAAATTAGAAAAAAATGAAAGGGGAAAGGTTTTATGGAATGGAGGGAGTATAATGCAAAGTGAATAGAAGTTTGATAAAAGAAATTAGGACATATATATAGAGCTAGAGTAGATTATTATTTGAGTAATTTACCTAAATCGGACTAAAACATAATGACTTTCTCAATATAGGATCATATGTTTTTATTTTTCAATGTAGGACATTTGGTCATTATTTATTAGTCATTATTCAACTAAATGTCTAGCATCAATTGTACATTATTCTTCTCACTAGTCATTATTAAGTTCTACTTAGGGAATAAAAAAGTTCAAGTCCTACATTGGAAAATAACTTACTCCCTTCGTCCCTAAATAAACTTCCATTTTTGACTTTTTGAGGATTTAAGAGAGGGATATTTTTGTGTTGACTTTCTAAAAATACCCTTGATGTGATGTGTAAAAGTAAGATGTGATAGGTAGACTATTAGTAAAAAGATATGATGTGATAGGTAGGGTATGAAGAAGTAATGGGTAAAAGGGGTTTTTTAAGAGAAAAGAAAAGTTTATTTGGGGACAAATAAAAACGAAAGGGGAAGTTTATTTAGGGACAGATGGATTATGTTTTAGTCCTATTCAGTGTAAATTTTCACTTATTATTTCTTGCATTGTTTGTGATTTTGTTTTATGAACACCCAAAATAAAGAAGAAGAAAATAAAATTCCAACATACCAAGGAGTAAAGTGAAGGATATGATGGCAACGAATACTAGGGAAGGAGATAAAGACTCCATTTGGTCTTGTCTTTTTTTTAAAACAAAACTAAAATGTTGAATTACTCTATAAATTTTAAAGAATGAATACAAATTAATTATTTCGAGTGATTTGGAGAATTATGAGACTTTAAATAGAGAATTTGGAATTATAGTGCACCAATTTACCATTTCAGAATCTTTAAATTTGTTTCCTAATTCATAAATTAAAGCTCCATTATTTGTAATTAAAATGTAACATTCTAATTATTAGGTGCGAATAATGTACAATACTGCGCGTTAAAATTCATTCAAAAATGAGAGCGAAAAAAAAATTACTATATCATTCTTGATATTTTTCTAATAATTTCTAATTTCTTTTATTTTTTCATTTATTCTCTTTTATTTTTTCATTTATTCTCATTACATATATTTTTCAAACCACGGGGGTGTT